TCCAATGTTTTCCTTCAAATTTTGTTATGTGCATCCTAATTCTATGTATATTCCTCTTCTTTTAATGCCCAAAGAGGATTAAATTTTTTAACGACAGTATTTATGTTGGATTCAAATAGTCATTTATAAATAATTTGCGAGATCTACTTCTACATTATCGTGGTTACGAGGAGTATTCACATTCCAACTAATAAGTTATTAAGGTTTATTTGCTTCTAATTGTTTCAAAGTTTTGGGTACCACACAGTATTACATTGCGCATTCGCATCATCAACCCCGTAGAAATAACCAATCGACTCGTGCATATATGATGACTGGGCACCGCGCCTTGCGCGGTTGACCCCAAAGTGGATCTCTCTTGCAATATCCGAAATATCCGCCACCGACGCAACATGCTTCGACTTCTCCGCAGTTATAATCGCGTGTAACTCATTTACGAAAATACGAAATACCGAGCTTTAAATCTAATGATTTACGATTCAAATCTTACGATTCAATTCATTCATACCTAAGTCAATTCAAATGTTAAAATAAATCTTAAATATCAACAAATTGATTAAATTTTACGAGTAACGATTTAAGAAAATTTTAATTTATTATATTATTTATAATAAACTTGGGATAATTACAGATTTAGTTCCTATATTACATACCATTTTTTTTTTAATTTTGGTCCTTAAACAAGAAATGAACCCCAAGTGGGGGTCAATTTGTAATTTTTGGTAATCCACTGACACAGTTTTGAAAATTGCAAAGGGGGTCAATTTGTAATTTTTGGTAATCCACTGAAACAGTTTTGAAAATTGCAAAATCGCCGCTATACTTACTCCATCTTCCCAGCTGTTCCACCCAAATAAAAATTTTAACAACAAAGTATATCTCTTTTGTAATATCCGAAATATCCACCACCAATGCAATATCCTACGACCCCTCAGCTATAATTGCGTATGACTCATTTTCTTTTGATTTACGATTCAAATCTTACGATTTAATTCATTCATACCTAAGTCGATTCAAATGTTAAAATAAATCTTAAATAGGGAGGAAACGATCAAATTTTACAATTTACGATTTAAGAAACAATAATTTATTATATTATTTATAATAAACGTGTTATAATTACTATTTTGGTCCATATATTATATACCAATTTTAATATAGATCGTTAAACCGGAAATGCCCCCAAGTGGAGGTCAATTGGTAATTTCCGAAAATCCACCTCCCTAGCTGAAGCAGTTCTGAAAATTGCAGAATCACCCCTATACTTACTCAATCTTCCCAACCACTCCACGCAAATTGCAAATTTGACCCCAAAGTGGATCTCTCTTTCAATATCCAAAATATCCACCACATTTATGAAAATTCGCAATACCGAGCATAGAATCGTATGTTTTACGATTCAATTCATTCATATTTATGTCGATTCAAATGTTAAAATATCCGCCACATTTATGAAATTTTCTATAAGGTCATAAAGAACAATTTATTAACGAACAAGTACATACAAAAATCTCTTTTAGCTAAAAGTCCACACATTCAATAAAATATCACACTTTTTGATAGAAAGAAAAAGAAAATCTTTCAGAACGAAACCGCAATTGCCATAACTAGGGGTGAAAGTCGGAAGGATCGGATCGGAATTAGCCTTTTCGGAAAATTTCCAAAAAAAATCGGAAGTACAAAATCAATTCCAATTCCAATTCCAAAATTTTCGGAATCTAAAAATTCATTCCAATTCCAAAAGGCCCGGAAATTTCGGAATTTCGGAAAATAATCGGAAATCGCATAAGCTTTAAAATTTCAAAACTTAGCCGAAAATTTCTATAATGTTCATAATTTTTCAAAAATAAGAACATCCACGTCGATAAAAGTAAAACTGATAACTACTAAATTTCAATTCAAAAAAATAAATAAAAATAAACACAGTATAATATCCAATAAAACTTCTAATAACAATTCATTATGTCAAAATCCTAAAACAAAACTCAGTGGTGTATTTTTTGGAAAATAAGTATTATATAATATATATTATTTATAGGTGTATTTTTCGGAAAAAAATCGGATTTTTTCGGAATTAATTTCGGAATTAAATCGGATCGGAAATCGGAAATTCCAAATTTTTTTTATATAATTCCAATTCCAATCCAAAAAAATCGGAAAAATTCGGAAATCGGAATTTCGGAAGTGGAA